CCTCAGGGCAGCCGGGGCGGGCCCGGGCCGCACTCACCTCAGCCACGCGCCCGGCGACGGAGGCGGGGGGGAGTTGTCGGGGAGCGCGTCGCGTTGCCATGGCAGCGCTGAGGGGGCGGGGCCTAGTCAGGCCACGCCCACCTATAGGCTCCGCCCCCGGGGCAGGGAGCGGTCCCCTCCAGCGCCGGCAGGGCTTCGGGGGAAACGGCGGCAACCGGCAACACGAGGAGGAACTTCTTCACTTTGAGGGTGGCAGAGCCCTGGAAGAGGCTGCCCAGGGAGGTGGTGGGGTCTCCGTCTCTGGAGACATTCAAACCCCCCCCCGGACACGTTCCTGTGGGACCTGCTCTGGCAGGACGTTGGACTAGATGATCTCCAGAGGTCCCTTCCAACCCCATGGGACGCTGAGACATGAAACTGAACGTGAGCCAGTCCAAAGCCAACAGCACCCCAGGACTGCACCCCCAGCAGTGCGAGGGAGAGCATCCTGCCCCCCTGATCCCCCTCTGAGGAGACCCCCAGATGATCATCAAGGTCCCTTCCAACTCAAACCATTCTATGATTCTACAAAATAGTAATTATTACTACAATTAATCAACCAGAAGGTGTTTCTTTGGGATAGAAAATTTAATTAAGAAATGTACAGCAGGGTGGTGGTTGTTAGACCTTGGGAAGCGGCGGCAGCGACTGCCCCCCAGGTGGGATTCCTCGGGCACTGCCTCCCCCTGGGCAGCACCACCCCAGCAGCTCCCACAGCCCCCCAGGAACCAGTTCTCTCACTATAAACCAGCTTTCTTCAAGTCCTCTGGCAGAACCCGGCCTTTCTTGCGGGCCCTGGCTTTCTTCTTCTCTATCCTTTCCTTCTTCTTCTTCTGGATGTTCTTGCGACGCTTCTCCTGCCGCTGTTGCATCTTCTCCACCACTCTCTCCGTCCGCTTCTCCCACTGCCGCTGCCGTTGCGCTTTACGCTTCTCCTTCCGCTTCAGAGCTTCTTTCAGACGCTCCTCGTTGTCACGGATCTTCACCCCTTCCGCCTTATAGAGAACGTTTGTCCATTTCATCTTGTTCTCCAGCTCCTGGGCTTTCTTCTCGTCCTTATCTTTGAGCTCCTCCAGCTTGTTCTTCCTGGTCTCCAGCCTGCTCAGCAGCTGCTTGTAGTTTTTGCCCGTCAGAGGAGTGATGTTGCCCTTCACTGCTTTCCTCTTCTCTTTCTTTTTCTGGACCTTGTTCAACTCATTCTCTTCATGGACTTCAACCCTGTTAAAGACAACCTCAGCTGTGCTCTCCTCCTTTTTGCTTTCTGGCTCTACCGGTACCTCCTCAGTTTCCTTCTTCTCCATTTTTGCCTTCATCTTTAACTCCTTCCTTCGGCGCTTCTTCCTCTCTCTCTCATACTTCCTTCGCTGTCTCTTCTCCAGGACTGCAGGGGGCAATTCTTTGACATCAGCCTAAGAAGAAGGGACATGAATCAGGAGCCTTAATGGGATAAAGCAGAATTAAAAGTGGGATATCCTCAACTTCCTGATTTCAAACTTCTCCTAAGAAACACTCTACTTCTGATGAGAAGCTGTGGGCTCAGCTTTTAGAGACACTCAACACAGCAAAGGCATTCCAAAGCCTTTATTCTCTCTCAACACCCCGTACCTATGTTCCTGTTCAGGCTGTTAGTGCTTTTCTCTTTCCTACACCCCCCCAAGAGCCATGTTCTCCTCCAGACCAGGCCCCACCTTTTCTCACGTGTTTTTCCAGACCACAGAACACACACAGGTCTCCCAGGAACACTACAGACACTTCTTTAGGAGGTGGAATTAACTCAGACCCTGAGCCTTGTAAGATCTTGTCCCCACATCCCCCAGGAGGCTAGGGACAATTTATATTGCATAAACACACATATGGATTTGTATTAAGAGTTCTCATACTTGTCCTGAAGCTTGTTTAATCTTCTCGTGCAGTCTCTGACGCAAGAGATTAATTGCAGAAAAAGAAGGGGAATCCAGCTCACTTTTGCTCCCTGAAAATGAGAAGAAGAAAAGAAAAACACTGAGAAGGCAGCACCAGCTAAACAGAACTTTCTGTGGCTACAGAAAAAGCTCCAAGAACTCTTTAGATGCTGTGAACAGAAGAAAAGCAATTTTAAAGAAACCAAGAGTTTCTATTTCATTGGTTCCTTTAGAATTCCCCCTCTCCTATTCATGCTATCCCTCAGCACAGCCAGCCAGAGTGGCCTGGCGTGCCCTGCGACTGCCCAACAAGCCCAAAGAGAAGCGCCAAGCTAGTGGAAACAAAGACACCAGGGACATCATTCCTTTGTCATCAGGCTTTTCAGGTTCATAATGGAAAGCTGGCCTGGCATGACAGAGACTGCATCCATGCAACACCCCTTAGAAATTACCCAAGTACATAAAAAGTCTCCAATTCAGGTAGTGGAAACAAAGACACCAGGGACATCATTCCTTTGTCATCAGGCTTTTCAGGTTCATAATGGCAAGCTGGCCTGGCATGACAGAGACTGCATCCACGCAACACCCCTCAGAAGTTACTCAAGTACATAAAAAGTCTCCAATCCAGGCTAAATACAATTTCCAGAGAGCCACTCAGTGGTGGCATTACAAACACCCATACATGCACAAAAGCTTTTAGGGCACATGGAATAAGCAAAGATGTTCTCAATTCAGCTGAACTTCTTAAAGGCTTTCCAAACCATACTCATCTGAAGCAGCTGAAAAGCAGCCACCTCAGCTCAGGGAACTGTAACCAGACTGTTGCTGCATTGATATTCTTACCTGTAACCAAACTCTCATTTCTGCTCTGTGTAGCACCCTGTGGAGATGGTTTGCTGGCTTGAGGGGCTGCTTTCTGTCCTGGAGTAGGTTTATTGGTGTTAGAGACCACCTGTTTGACTGAAGAAGCATTCACCTTCTCAGCTTGCTTCCCAGCCTTCTTCCTCTTCTTTTTCTTGGGCTGCCTGTCAGCATCCTTGGGCTGGCCTGGCTTAGATACTAGAAAACAAGAGACAAATTACACAAACAACTCTCTCTACATCTAACTGAAAGGTTATAATAAGGTGGGGGGTTGGCCTCTTCTCCCAAATAACAAGCAAGTAAACAAGGGGAAACAGCCTCAAGTTGCACCAGGGGAGGTTTAGATTGGGTATTATGAAAAATTTCTTCGCTAAAAGGGTTATCAGCCTTTGGAACAGGCTGCCCAAGGACGTGGTTGAGTGAGTCGCCATCCCTGGAGGTATTTAAAAGACAGGCAGATGTGGTGCTGAGGGACATGGTCTAACGGTGGTGATGGCAGTGTTGTTTTGGTGGTGGGACTCGATGTTCTTAAAGGTCCCTTCCAACCTAGATGAATCTATTTTAGATAGACCAGGACAACACTAAATTCCTACTTCATAACACTCAGTTTTACTGAAGACTGAAGTTCCACCATCGCAATGCCATATCCCAATCTTCAAAAAATCCATAGTTTCGAGTTGTTTAAACAGAGCCAAACAGGCCCGCACACTTCACCAGTCCTCCTTCTCCCACGCCCAATCACCACGTGTACAGAAACGGCCCCATGTTTCAGAAGAGATTAGTTTTTTTCTTGAAAACAGCATCTAACTGAAAGGTTATAATAAGGTGGGGGGTTGGCCTCTTCTCCCAAATAACAAGCAAGTAAACAAGGGGAAACAGCCTCAAGTTGCACCAGGGGAGGTTTAGATAAGGTGGGGAGTTGGCCTCTTCTCCCAAATAACAAGCAAGTAAACAAGGGGAAACAGCCTCAAGTTGCACCAGGGGAGGTTTAGATTGGGTATTATGAAAAATTTCTTCACTAAAAGGGTTATCAGCCTTTGGAACAGGCTGCCCAAGGACGTGGTTGAGTGAGTCGCCATCCCTGGAGGTATTTAAAAGACAGGCAGATGTGGTGCTGAGGGACATGGTCTAACGGTGGTGGTGGCAGTGGCAGTGTTGTTTTGGTGGTGGGACTCGATGTTCTTAAAGGTCCCTTCCAACCTAGATGAGTCTATTTTAGATAGAACAGGATAACACTAAATTCCCACTTCATAACACTCAGTTTTACTGAAGACTGAAGTTCCACCATCGCAATGCCATATCCCAATCTTCAAAAAATCCATAGTTTCGAGTTGTTTAAACAGAGCCAAACAGGCCCGCACACTTCACCAGTCCTCCTTCTCCCACGCCCAATCACCACGTGTACAGAAACGGCCCCATGTTTCAGAAGAGATTAGTTTTTTTCTTGAAAACAGCACATGCACCGCTCCGGGCCCAGCACCCGCCGGTGATCCAGACCCCCCCGCACACCGGCCGGGAGGGACAGGAGCCCAAGCGCCGCAGCTCCGTTACCGAATTTCCTCTTCCGTGACTCCGGGGAGTGCTGCACATCCACCTTCCTCGCCAAGGCCTGCAGGTACGAGTCCTGGGCGGCCAGGCTGGCCATGAGAGCGGCCGCGGAGCCCCGGCTCAGCACCGGATGCACCGTTCCCTCCTCACGGCATGGAAGGGCCGGCAGGAAGTGACCTCAGCGCGCCGCGCGGGAAGTGACGCCATCCGCCCGCGCCGTTCCCCGGTACCACCGGGGATAACCCTCCCCTGGCCGCCCGCCCCGGAAGGCTCCGGTCTGGAGGCCACAAGCCCTTATAGGCGATGAGTGGGGCGGAGGAGGGAGAGCCGCCCCCGTTCCGCCTGCCGGTTGAACGGTAACGGTCCCGGGGGCACCGGGACCCGCTGCGAGGAGCGGGGATGTCTCCAAAACCTCCGGGGGAGGAGGATTTGGGGGGGATCACTCGGCCTAGAGCACGCTCAATATCGACCCAGTCCTCCTTCTCCCACGCCCAATCACCACGTGTACAGAAACGGCCCCATGTTTCAGAAGAGATTAGTTTTTTTCTTGAAAACAGCACATGCACCGCTCCGGGCCCAGCACCCGCCGGTGATCCAGACCCCCCCGCACACCGGCCGGGAGGGACAGGAGCCCAAGCGCCGCAGCTCCGTTACCGAATTTCCTCTTCCGTGACTCCGGGGAGTGCTGCACATCCACCTTCCTCGCCAAAGCCTGCAAGTACGAGTCCTGGGCGGCCAGGCTGGCCATGAGAGCGGCCGCGGAGCCCCGGCTCAGCACCGGATGCACCGTTCCCTCCTCACGGCATGGAAGGGCCGGCAGGAAGTGACCTCAACGCGCCGCACGGGAAGTGACGCCATCCGCCCGCGCCGTCCCCCGGTACCACCGGAGATAACCCTCCCCTGGCCGCCCGCCCCGGGAGGCTCCGGTTTGGAGGCCACAAGCCCTTATAGGCGATGAGTGGGGCGGAGGAGGGAGAGCCGCCCCCGTTCCGCCTGCCGGTTGAACGGTAACGGTCCCGGGGGCACCGGGCCCCGCTGCGAGGAGTGGGGGGTGTCTCCAAAACCCCCGGGGGAGGAGAGGACGGGGGGGAGTCACTCGGCCTAGAGCACGCTCAATATCGACGTATTTTCAGAAGGTTGAAAACAAACGCTTTAAAAAAGTATAGAAAGGAGTTAGTTTTATTAAACCACCTAATTACAAAAAAAAAAATATTAAAATTAATAAAATAAATGGAATGGAAGAAAAAAATAAAACAAAAATTACAGCGAAATTGCCACCTGGAGAAGCGAGGCGTTACAGCAGAAGGCTGGGGGAGCCTGGACCCTCTTCCCTGCAGGGGCTGGGGCAGAAGAGCCGCTGTGGGGAAGGGCTGGAGCCACCGACGGGCACAAAGCACCCCCCGAGGGTCCCGGGGAGAAACCCAGCGTCCCCTGAGTGTCTGTTCCTGCTCCGAGCGCGATAACCCTCCCCTGGCCGCCCGCCCCGGAAGGCTCCGGTCTGGAGGCCACAAGCCCTTATAGGCGATGAGTGGGGCGGAGGAGGGAGAGCCGCCCCCGTTCCGCCTGCCGGTTGAACGGTAACGGTCCCGGGGGCACCGGGACCCGCTGCGAGGAGCGGGGATGTCTCCAAAACCTCCGGGGGAGGAGGATTTGGGGGGGATCACTCGGCCTAGAGCACGCTCAATATCGACGTATGTTCAGAAGGTTGAAAACAAACGCTTTAAATAATTATAGAAAGGAGTTAGTTTTATTAAACCACCTAATTACAAAAAAAAAAAAAATAAAAATTAAAATTAATAAAATAAATGGAATGGTAGAAAAAAATAAAACAAAAATTACAGCGAAATTGCCATCGGGAGAAGCAAGGCGTTACAGCAGAGGGCTGGGGGAGCCTGGACCCTCTTCCCTGCAGGGGCTGGGGCAGAAGAGCCGCTGTGGGGAAGGGCTGGAGCCACCGACGGGCACAAAGCACCCCCCGAGGGTCCCGGGGAGAAACCCAGCGTCCCCTGAGTGTCTGTTCCTGCTCCGAGCGCCCCAGCCACCTCCAGAGCATGAGACAACACTGTTACACAGCGTCAACGCACCCCAGCCACCTCCAGAGCACGAGACAACACCATTACCCAGCATCAACGTCACAGCTCAGGCTGCGTTAAGGGAAGGTTTCTGTGTAAACATCTGGAAAAGGAACTGGACTAACTAAAGGGTGTCACTGCTTCGGAAAGCATCGTCGATGCTTCAGTCAGATTCCCCAGTTTTCCCTTTCCTCCCCCAAAATGGAGAACACTGCTCCTCGGTAAGGGTCTCCTGAGAGCCTCCTTCCAAACGACTGCAAGGAAAAGTTCAAGTTTGTGGAGCACTGTGGCAGTGAAGAGTGCTGTGTAAGAAATACTGCAAGATTCTTACTCTGAGCAGAAGGGAGGTTGGCAGGTGCCATCCTGAGAGAGCTTTAAAGCAGCCAGAACACAATAACCTTGGGAAGCAGGAGTAAAAACCCCAAAACACTCACTGCCCCCGCATTTGGCTCAAGTTTATCCCAAACAAATTCGATTCCCAACACTCCAGCGTGTACTTGCCGAGATACACATGGAAACAAACTGGACTTCTAATGAGCTCTACACGTAACGATCACATTAAAGCAAATCTAACTCTTAACTTCTTAGAACAATCAACTTCATATTTACTTATAGCGTTCTCTTAAGAGAGAGGAACACTCGTGGCAATGTCCAGGGGTGGAGAAAGCACTGTGGCCATCCAGTGAGCAGAAACCTGCAAATACAGCTCCAGTGCCTTCTCCTGACGGGTGGGAGATGCTTGCTCAGTACAGCAGGTGGAAGACTTCCAGCAGCGCGGTGCCGCCGGGAGGAAGAGGTTGGGATCCTCTTCAGGAGTGCTCCGTGGGGCCAGCCCCGTGCCCGTTCACGTGAGGGTGCGATGGGGTCGAGCTCTGGGAGGTGGCAACGCTCTGCTCTGCTGCGGCAGCTGCCAGAGGCATGGAGAGGCTTTCGGGGGACAGCGTGGCCAAGTCTTGTCTCCAGTAGGCTTCGCACAGCGGAAGATCATTGCTGTCACACAGACTGTAGCTTTCCAGAACAAACAACCCCAGTGAGGAGAGACAGCAGGTGCCGTAAGAGAGGAGGGGAGGGAGGGAGGGGAAAAAGTGGGGGGGAGCAAGACAGAAGCAAAGCATTAAGAAAATGGCAAAAAAACGTTCATGGATGTAAAGGTCTTGCGTTCAGAAATTCATCTCAAGTCTTGTGACTCGGGCCTTCCCTATGACATCCCCTAACGGCTGGTCTTGAACCTCGTGGGCATGGTGAGGATCAGGGGAATTTCAGAGTCAAAACTGTTGCTACAAACTCAGAGGCTCAGTTCTAATCCAGATGCTCCAAGTCCCTGGAAAGATCTAGGCTGAAGTCCTGGCACCCCAAAGATGGGAGTTCTGCTGAGTGAGGCAAGGACCTCATCTGTAATTATTTCACTTGGAATTAGATCACACCCTATGTGAGGAAAAAAAAGAGTAAATCCTGCTCTAAATTGAAGTTCAGGAAAAAAGGTAGCACAATTATTTTAGGGCCTATCCCTGTCACAATAAAGAACAAACCTATTTGCTCCCTTGCCCTTTCAAAAAAGTCCTCCACAGAAGGTCTGAGTCTGCTCTTAAGCTCCCCAGCCTGATGACAAAGTACTGATGGCTCCTACCAGTTTCAGCGTTAAGCTGAATTAACAGTTTTTCTGAAAGCAGCTTCCTGGATTTGACCACCATAAACTACAGAGCTGGATGAACCAGGGGGAAAGTAAGGTTTTTAAACAACTGGCTAATTCTTGCCTGTGCTCTGAGGAAAACACAACACGGAAGGGCCAAAACTAAGAAGAAAAATGATGGAAGAAACTGGAACAAAACCAAAACAAATTCCAAAGAGAGGAAGGAGCTGCACACACAAGAGACACTCAAGCCAAAGTGAGCGCTGGAGCGGGAAGCAGCTTGCGTTCAGATAAAAACAAACCCAATGGGTCAAGTGATTTTCTTGTTGCAGCTTTTATTTACATTTTTAATGTATGGACTTGAATAAGATGCTTTGGGAAATATTTTAAGCGTAGAAACATGAGACACTTCAAATTGCACAAACATGAAACATGTTGAGATTTAACCCCACACTCAAGACAGCTCCTGTGATGTCAGAGGAGGGAGCCATGGAACATAAACGCAAGATTGGGGTTTCGGATGAGAGAAGGCAAAGCTGGACTCGGAGTTACCGCCTTGGGGAGTAAGCACACAGAGCACTAGTTGCAAGCATCTACCTTTGAGCTCTTTTCTGGCAACATCACCTGGCTGGTTTTGCAGTAAAAGCGAGAAGGAAGTGGATACAGGTTTTATATCTGGGGCCTTTGTAAAATTCCTTGGAACCTCACCCTTCCCTACAGTCCCCAACACAGAGTGAAATTGGGTTCAATTAGCAAAGACCTTCAGGACTGAACCAGAACTGACAGAAAAGTTCTGAACCATAGTCTTAGACCTCAGGCTGTGGTTTCCAAGGAGAACCCAGCCACAGCATCCACCACATCTTGGCAGGTGAGTTACTACGAAAATTTTAGCTGTGTCACAAACATAACTGCTTCTCCTTCCGCCCCAGTCAGAACAGTCCCAAAAGTCTAAGCTTCACCTCTCATGTAACACTCCTCAAAAGTCAGGGTGAATCAGCAGCCACTGCACAGCCCACAAAAGCACGGGCCAGCCTCCTATTCTGTCCTCAGTGCACAGAAAGGACTTCACTACTGCCCTCAGGACATACAGCCCAGTCCACGTGCAGAGGAACAGCTCTAGAGAACTACCTGAACAGAGGGACCGAAAGCAAAAATTCCTTCAGAACAATCTACTCAGCTTTAGTTTCATGGACCTGCTTTCAGGTCTCCTCAAACCCAACCCGTACCCATAAAAATCCCAGCACTGAAACCTGCCCCTACGCCTGAGGCACATCCTATAACCTCACTATGGCCAAGGGGTTGCCTCCTAAGCCCCTTTAACACAATGGCAGTGACAAACGCTGGGCAGCAGACAGCCCTGACTGGCTTTTCGTGCTGGTTGGGAACAGTGCACAGGGACCAAACAAGCTGCATGGCACAGGGCAGCTCTCAGCTCTGCAGCACCCAGAGCTGTGCTGCGCCAGGGAGATCACTTTTCTACAGCCTTCCCTGGAGAGACGACCTAAAATAAACTAACCAGTCACCTTCAGGGAAACTGCAGCATGGGGGAGCCGTCTGGAACCCACGTCCTGCCCCCATGGGATTGCACACCTCTTAAAAAATTCTGTGGGATGAAGGCCCATGAGAAATTAACAGATGGTGCAGAGAAGCAACCCCAGCTGGGCTCCAGGAGAGCACAGAACGCCCATCTGTGGCAAACCAGCTATTGCATTTACAGCCATTTAAACATGATTATCACTCAAGACATAACAAAAACCCTTTTCCCCCCCCACACTAGGCAATAAAGTTTCATTAAAAATATTTTAGTGTTCTAATTATAAAAGGATTTTGAACAAATCACTGTTTCTGTATTCATACACACAATGTCTTTGGTGCAGAAAAGACAGAGAAGAGCACAGGAACAGAATAAGTGCTAAAAGCAAATGACTTAAGTGCTACATGATAACAGGTTTCAGTGGAGGGATCATAGCTCTGTAGAGTCAACAAGTTTCCTACTTTGTGACCACTCATAAGAAAGAGCACGAAGGCAAATCTGTTTAGTGTATGCCAACATTTGTGCTTAGATTTTCAGTTACAAAGGGTTGCTTTACATGGCATCTGGTGCCAGACTGGTGAACTGACCACGCCAGCACGGTCAGAACCCCTCAGCCCAGAATTTAAAGCTACTGACACACAGTGGTGGCAGTCTGGTGACAGTGTGAGGGAAGCACACCTGGCACACGTGAGGCACTAACATCCCACACCGCATGGTTTTGGATACAGCTCACTGCTACACTCTCTGCAACCTATGTAGTGGATGCACCTTGACTGGTGCTTAGATTTGCAACTATCCCTCTCCAATCCTGAGATATCTCTAGGACCCCTTGCTACCCCTCAAAAAAACTGAATAGAGTTTGAAAAATAACTGTAAACTTTTACCTCAAGTTTTCTTCCTATGTCGTAGCAGTTCCTAAGCTATGTCGTATCAATATATTTTTATTCTTAAAATACATATATTACCCATAAATAATGGCCTAACTTCCAAAGATATTGAGCAATTAAGGTTTTAGTTGACTTAGCTGGGGTTATAGACATTCAGCATTTTTAGAAAGAAGAGAAAGGCAAAAATAGAAAACCTGGTCACTAGAACTTTAAGTTTTCAAAAATTAAGTTTCTGTTTAGAAGTCACAGCATTATTGCACTGACTTCGCTTAGCTTGGACAGTGCAGCCAAAACAATCATAGAATGGTTTGGGTTGGAAGGGATCTTAAAGATCATCTAGTTCCAAGCCCCGATCAGGTTCTCATTTGTTTTCTCCTGCTTTCATTTACTGCATCATCAACTAGAAGTGCTGGAGTGCATGGCAGAAAATAAAAAAAAAATAAAGTGTCTGAATTCTCAAAAGCCTGATTTCTAAGAGTCTTTTAAAAATATTAAAAATCTCACAAATCACTAATAAGTCTTCTTTAGAAAAGCCTATCATAATACCTCATAATTCAATGAAACGGAGCATGTCTTTTTTGCTCATCTCAAATGTTCACCCCAACAGGATGCCAGGCAGCTGAGGCAGTGGACTACAAGGGAAAAGGCACACCGTGTAACCAAGTCACTTGTGAAGAACCCACCCCAAGGGGTTGCCTCCTAAGCCCCTTTAACACAATGGCAGTGACAAACGCTGGGCAGCAGACAGCCCTGACTGGCTTTTCGTGCTGGTTGGGAACAGTGCACAGGGACCAAACAAGCTGCATGGCACAGGGCAGCTCTCAGCTCTGCAGCACCCAGAGCTGTGCTGCGCCAGGGAGATCACTTTTCTACAGCCTTCCCTGGAGAGACGACCTAAAATAAACTAACCAGTCACCTTCAGGGAAACTGCAGCATGGGGGAGCCGTCTGGAACCCACGTCCTGCCCCCATGGGATTGCACACCTCTTAAAAAATTCTGTGGGATGAAGGCCCATGAGAAATTAACAGATGGTGCAGAGAAGCAACCCCAGCTGGGCTCCAGGAGAGCACAGAACGCCCATCTGTGGCAAACCAGCTATTGCATTTACAGCCATTTAAATATGATTATCACTCAAGACATAACAAAAACCCTTTTCCCCCCCCACACTAGGCAATAAAGTTTCATTAAAAATATTTTAGTGTTCTAATTATAAAAGGATTTTGAACAAATCACTGTTTCTGTATTCATACACACAATGTCTTTGGTGCAGAAAAGACAGAGAAGAGCACAGGAACAGAATAAGTGCTAAAAGCAAATGACTTAAGTGCTACATGGTAACAGGTTTCAGTGGAGGGATCATAGCTCTGTAGAGTCAACAAGTTTCCTACTTTGTGACCACTCATAAGAAAGAGCACGAAGGCAAATCTGTTTAGTGTATGCCAACATTTGTGCTTAGATTTTCAGTTACAAAGGGTTGCTTTACATGGCATCTGGTGCCAGACTGGTGAACTGACCACGCCAGCACGGTCAGAACCCCTCAGCCCAGAATTTAAAGCTACTGACACACAGTGGTGGCAGTCTGGTGACAGTGTGAGGGAAGCACACCTGGCACACGTGAGGCACTAACATCCCACACCGCATGGTTTTGGATACAGCTCACTGCTACACTCTCTGCAACCTATGTAGTGGATGCACCTTGACTGGTGCTTAGATTTGCAACTATCCCTCTCCAATCCTGAGATATCTCTAGGACCCCTTGCTACCCCTCAAAAAAACTGAATAGAGTTTGAAAAATAACTGTAAACTTTTACCTCAAGTTTTCTTCCTATGTCGTAGCAGTTCCTAAGCTATGTCGTATCAATATATTTTTATTCTTAAAATACATATATTACCCATAAATAATGGCCTAACTTCCAAAGATATTGAGCAATTAAGGTTTTAGTTGACTTAGCTGGGGTTATAGACATTCAGCATTTTTAGAAAGAAGAGAAAGGCAAAAATAGAAAACCTGGTCACTAGAACTTTAAGTTTTCAAAAATTAAGTTTCTGTTTAGAAGTCACAGCATTATTGCACTGACTTCGCTTAGCTTGGACAGTGCAGCCAAAACAATCATAGAATGGTTTGGGTTGGAAGGGATCTTAAAGATCATCTAGTTCCAAGCCCCGATCAGGTTCTCATTTGTTTTCTCCTGCTTTCATTTACTGCATCATCAACTAGAAGTGCTGGAGTGCATGGCAGAAAATAAAAAAAAAATAAAGTGTCTGAATTCTCAAAAGCCTGATTTCTAAGAGTCTTTTAAAAATATTAAAAATCTCACAAATCACTAATAAGTCTTCTTTAGAAAAGCCTATCATAATACCTCATAATTCAATGAAACAGAGCATGTCTTTTTTGCTCATTTCAAATGTTCACCCCAACAGGATGCCAGGCAGCTGAGGCAGTGGACTACAAGGGAAAAGGCACACCGTGTAACCAAGTCACTTGTGAAGAACCCACCATGAAGACATGGTGATCTCATCTAATATCAGGACCCAGCTCAGCAAGCCACTCTCTCCAGGGACAGAGAGAGAGAGGCTCCTTCAGAGGGATACTCAGACAGAAGCCTATACCTCCAAGGAAATTTATCTCCTTTTACAATGATCACAAAGGAAGCCTAAGCAAATTATCTGTCAAATCTACCCAACTACAGCAAGCACCTAGAGTTGGATGCTGTGAATACCTCCTTCACCATGACATTTATACCTTGTAGGATACCTACAAGGAAAAGGCAGTTGCTTTAGCTGCAGAAAAAGAGTTTGACCTAATTAAAAATAGGACTGAAATTTTGTTGGGAACATCCTCAAGACCTATACTCTATGAACTACTTGTTTGTCTGGATTAACTACCCCAAAAGGGCTGGAGTAATAAGGCAGAAGTCCACTGCCCTATTTGTACCTGGAAGAGTAATATTCTTCTTCTAGCTCGTACAGGTCAATGGAGATCTCATCCCGTAGTGCAATCAGCTTCTTGTCACATTCTTCCTGCAAGCTTCTCAGCTGCTGGTTGCGCTGGTTGATAGCTTCATTCACAGAGGGGAAATCATTGAGGATCAAGAACTGCTTCAGGTCAGACACAAGTTTCATCAGGGACTCACCAGCTCGGACCTTGTAGCAGGGAGAAAAAGCACAGAATATAATAAAACAGCACCTTGCTCCAATTCTAAAACAAGATCTCCCAAGCTGCTCCTTCAGCCCAAGCCTTGTATAAAGTAGAAATGCCCATGTTACGTGAGGATTCTGACAGAAGCCTGTAGCTGACAAGCCAGGCTACCCAGCTTTCCCCCCATAGGAATGATTCACCAAACAGCCACCCCAATTATCAGGTTACTCTTCCAGCAGCAGCCCTCGTGAGTGTTATAAAGGCTACCCTAGATGCAATAATGAACCCAAAGGATGTGCTGCCCACCGAGTGGCACAGCAGGGTGCTACTCACAATGTTTGCAGCTCTGACATGCATCTCATAGTTATCTTGTTCACCCTGGGTTGCTCGAGAGACTTGAGTTTCATCCTCAATCTAAAGAAAGAAGTACACATATCCGCCTTTACATACTAAAATCATGAAACATGATTACTACAGCATAAGGCATCTCATTTCAATTAAATCTACAGCTAGAGTCTCCAGGGCCACCTCTGCACTTCAGAGGCGCTTGTGGATGTCTTTGCTGCCCTCCCCACTTGCTTCTGTGGTTCTCTCCCATTCAGTAGCACCGCCTGGCTGCCCGCAGCGGGGAGGCAGGGAGACCAGCAGCAGCCGAGGAGAACTAACAGCCGCCCACCCTGAGGAAGAAAGGAAGGAAGGAACCCCCTTCCCTCACAACCACCCGCGGGGAACGGGGAGAAAGTTCCCCCCGCCTCCCTTCCCTCAGGGGCCCGACCTTCCCTCAGGGTCGCTCCTTCTCCCCTCAAGGGCCTCGTTCTCCCCCTCGCCCCCTCGTCCCTCAGGGGCCTTGCTCCCCCCTCACAGGCCTTATTTCCCCCTCACAGGCCTTATTTCCCTCTCACAGCCGCCCCCTCTCCCCTCAGAAACCCCTGTCTCTCCTCAGAGCTGCCCCCGGGGAAAACCCGCTCCTCTCCCCTCACGACACCGGCCGCTCCGGCGGGCGCGGCGCCCTCCCCTCGATACTCGTCTTCAGCCCAGGCCCACCTTGGCCGTCTTGATGATTTCGGTGAAGTTGTCCATGATGGACTTGACGTCATCTTTGAGGCGCTTGTTGTAGGACTGCAACAGGGTCTCTTTGCTCTGCGGCAGCACCCGCTGCTGCGCCATGGCGCCCCGCGACCCCTCCCCTCACCCCGCTCCTTCTCGATCCCCCGCCCCCCCCCCCCCTCCCCTCGCGC